CTCGGCCTCCCAAAGTGCTGGGATTACAGGCTTGAGCCACCGCGCCCGGCCGCAATGTTTATTAAGTAGGCACTATGTGCTCAAGAGTATGAATCAGAGCACTGTGCTGGGCATAACACATTATGTTATTTAATTCTCTTAACACTCTGGGAACTGGTACTAAGGGTTTCATAATTTTCAGGATTTAGATAAAGGGCCCAGCATTTTTATTTTTTCTTCTGTTTCTCTGTCATCGAATTTTTTTAAAAATTGTATAGAATAAAAGCTAAATATAGACAGATGAAAGAGATATAGAAAGGAAGAGTTTAATGTAATATAGAGAAAATTTCATTCTGTTTATATTTACTTTTTTTGACTTGTGGAGCAACTACTGGATCTGCAGGAATAGAAAACAAGTTGCTAAATAGAATGTCTCTGCACTAGTTTTAATAAAAATTTAAAAACGAAGACCGTACAATACATACTTTATTTTTCCCATTTATCTGCTTTTGAATTTCAGGAAATTGTGAGCACCAGCTCTAGAAAGGGAGCAGGATTCAGCAGCCAAAACTCTGATCTCCTCTAATTAGTTCTGTGAGGCAAGACTCCAGGGTAGGTTCAGACCTAACTAAGGCCTCCAAAAAGGATGAATCTGAACACGTCTGGGGCAGGGTGGGAACCCTTTGTATAATTCTGTTCTCTATGCAACTAGGGTACTTCCAGTTTTGTCTTGTTTCTAAGCTTACTTAAAAGAAACTTAAATCCCAGGGTTTCTGTAGTTTTTATCTTTTCTAGTCACTGCCCTGACAACTTTATACTATATACTAATATGCAATTTAAACAAATCCCTTAAGGTTTTCTAGGGTAATTTTATTAGAAAATAAAACTATCTACAGTTAGCAAGGTAAAAGAAATAGAAAATATATGGCCGAGAGCAGTGGCTCACGCTTGTAATCTCAAGACTTTGGGAGGCTGAGGTGGGTGCAGAACGAGGTCAGCAATTAAAGACCAGCCTGATCAAGATGATGAAACCCAGCCTCTAGTAAAAATACAAAAATTAGCTGGGCGCAGTGGCAGGCACCTGTAATCCCAGCTCCTCGGGAGGCTGAGGAGGGAAAGTCACTTGAGCCTGGGCGGCAGAGTTTGCAGTGAGCCGAGATCATGCCACTGCACTCCAGACTGGGTGACAGAGTGAAACACCATCTCAAAAACAATAATAATAATTTATAACAATTCTTTTATTCATAAATCTCCCTTCAGGTGTAGACATCAGAAGTCACAACAATATAAAGAAAGTGGTCTAAATAAAGCCCAAGATTTTTTGACACATCTATTTATTATACCAACCATATGATGCATAATTCAATTATTTATCCAGTTGCTAGTCTAGACTAAAAGTTTCTGGACTGTAGGAAATATGACTGCTTCATGTATTTTTTTAATGCCCATATGAAGTGGAAGTAACTAGTTTATCTATCTGGGTCTCCAGATCTTCTCCTTATTATCCAAGTACCAGGAAACTGGAGAAACTCTCATCTGGATACCAACCAAAGATATCTCTTGTATGAGGGGATGAACAAACACAGAATGACTCATTTCTCTTACACTGAGACAGAAGCAGAATTAACCAACCACTCTTGTCAGCCTGACACAATTCTGCTCTGGACATCGTCAAACGCTTCAAAGACAACTGGATGATTGTGAGAGAATTCCCAGTGATCTGGGCCTCATGGCCCAATGATAACCCAGGCTGGAGAGACTCAGGCTGACTCTAAATAGAAAATAGAACTGCCCTGGTAGAGCTCCAGAACATGGACC